TTCTTCTCTGCTACAATTCCACTTTTTACAAATATAATTTCTGGAGATTCTGTTTTTTTATTGAATTTTTGTGGTAAATTATCGTCGCCAAAATTTTTCATTATAAACGAAAGGGCGAATTATAATTTATATGGTACTTCATATGGGACAAATCACAAGTGATAAGAGAATTTTATAATTTCATGGGTATTTATTTTCTCAAACTTAAGTAAATAGATCTTTTACCTGTTTATTTAAAAGAATTACTGTACTCTGTATTATTATATTAGTATTACCATTAAATAAGAAAAACTGAAAAAACAATAAAAGTTATATTTGAAGTAGCGAATGATTTGTGATTCAGAGGATCATTCTAACCTATTATCCTTTTGAAGTAACAGGTTTATTAAAATTTTAACTTCAAATATTTATATGTGAATTTATATCAGAATTTATATTAGAATTTTAGAGTATTTATATTAGAATTTAACATATAGTAAATATAGTGAAGTTGGAGAAATTCATTTTTTATAAAGGATCTGTAGTACATTAATACTACACGCATGAAATAGGTTTCGACTCGATTCAGCTGAATAAACACAGTGGTGTCTCGGATAACTCGAGGCGAAATAGCGTAGTAATTGTCATGTCTGAAAAGGCTCGATCCGCTCTGATTGAATGGAAGCCAGTAAATGTATGGCCTATGCGTGTTTCAAGGGAAAGTTTAGCAATATTTAGGTCATCAGTATATATGCTACAACTATGCGCAGATGACCGCGATAAAGGTAAGTTCTATACGGAATTTTAACTGTTAACAACATCCCTACCGAGAGGTGACATGGTCATAATCCAAGGAGACTGAAATGCACACGTAGGTCATGATGCCGTTACGATGAACTCGGTAATTGACAAATATCGCATCGGGGTCCAGTGCGCCAATGGAGAACGCCTTCTTCGTTTTGCTGAAGAACATGAACTCTTTGTTACCAATACATGCTTTCGGCTTCGGAAGAAACATCTAGTCACGTGGAACTCTCTCGACAACCAATATTCCAATTAGATTGACTATATATTAATCAGTCATCGCTGGAAGAGTTCTGTACTGTATAGTCGTTCTTATCAGGGCGATGAAACTGGTAATCGCCATGGATCAGATCACGTTATGGTTCGAGCAAAGATTCGTATAAAACTGACAAGTCATTAGAAACAATATCTCAAGATCTTTCAACTATTTTCAAATTAAAAAATCCAGGAACGATAAGCACATTTCAGACCACATTATTAAACATTTTAGCGAAATAAACGTCAATGACATCTCTGGAAAGTCGAATGAATACTGGTTCCAACTAAAGACATGCCTACAAAAGTCAGCCACTTCCACATTAGGGTATACTAGTAGGAAGTGCGCTAACTGGGTGTCGGAAGTAACTGTCCAACCGTCTGCCAAAGCCTAAATATCAGGAGATCCTGACTATGGGGTGCTTCGAAGAATTACAACGACAGCAGCACGGCGGGACAGAAATCACTATTGGAGTGACATGGCCTTGAGAATGGAGACGGATGCTCGATAGGCGATAACAGAGAATTATTCCGCCTTTTTTTATAAAGCAACCATAATTCGAGAAAGGGTCAGTGAAATGATACGGGATATTAATGGGGTGCCTATTAAGGCTATTAAGAATTTTCCGGCCGAACTCTTCAAATGTTGTCCTTCATAGCTCATAACTCATCTTCAACAAATGTATTCTCTGGTGTGGCAAAGAAAGTAATACCAGAAGACTGCAGCAAAGCAATTCTGTTTCCAATTTCTAAGAAAAGTGACAGAGGCAATTACCGAGGAATCAGCCTACTCAACATCTCCGGAAAATTTTTCGCTTCCCTTCTGCTAAATAGACTCATGATTTAGGGATTGAATGGCTCAGTGATTTGTTGCTCAATTGGGGCGCTGGTGCTGAGGTTCGATTTTCCGCAGGAATAAACGTGTACAAAAATCTGAGTGATGCTGGCGACTCATCTGTATATCGCCAAGGGACTCTCTGGCATATTGCCTAATGCGATAAGCCAGTGGAGCAAGTTTAACCAGCAATGATGAGGACTCTTTAAAAAAAATAGACTCATGACAACACGAGATAGCAGAATGCATCCTAACCAAACTGGATTCAAACCGAGACGCAGTTATGCTGACCAGATAGTTACGCTAAGAACGATGCTGGGACATCGCTTCAAATACCAGCAACCCACCGTATCGATTATACTTATTTTATCGATTTTGCAGCTGCCTTTGATTCGATTGATAGAGCAGCGCTCTGGAAAGTGATGGAATAACGGTTTTCCACAGAAGATCATTCGACTCATAAATGTGTTTTATGAGGATAGACGGCGCAGGTCTGTGTATATGGAGAACTTACGTACTCTTTCGAAATAAAAAGTGGTATCCGCCTGGGCTGCGCCCTTTCCCTCACAATATTCAACAATGCGATAATCTGGATAATGGTAATGGGGACCTGTCGGCATTCGAGAGGTGTGCGAATCAGTCTAGATAACAGTTATGAGGAAATGCAAATAATTTTAATGTATCAACAACTGCAGCAAGAATCGGACTCAAAATCAATGTAAATATAACGAAAGTGTTTTCGCTTTATGTACAAGATGCTGACAAAATACCTATTTTTGTCAATTCATTGCGGGTTGAGAAAGTGCTGGAACTTTAAATATCTGCTCGACTCTAATCCCAAATGACCAGGCAAAGGATGAAATTATAGCCCGGATAACGACAGCTAGAAATGTATTTTTCCGGTTGATGAAATCTTTATGGCACCATCGAGAAATCGCCATTAAAATGAAAATCCGCGTCCATATTCACTCGATTCAATTCGCTCGATCTTGCTGGCTACGAAACGACCAATGAGAGTGGACGATATTAAGAAGCTATCTGCCTTTGACCATTCTTGTCTAAGGTACATATTATGGATCCGTCGAGCGGATAAGATATCACAAGATCACATCCACCTTCGTTCAGACTTGCATAAATAATATTAAATAAATAATATTATCACAGTGTGTCGCCTTCGCTGGTTAGGGCACTGTCATCCACCACAGGAGTTGACACATATATCGTTACTTGCTAAACCCTGTGATGGTTGGTGTCAGAAGCGAGGTGGTCCTAATCAATATCTGGACTGATACAGTCAGGAAAGATTTTGAACGTATAGGGAGATCAGCGATATATGGAATTAGACGATGGAAAAAGGAATGGCTTCTATTTTTAGTAGCGATGGCGTGGGATCGAGCTTGGAGATTTTTACCCTTACCTTTGTAGTTTTACCCTTGTAGCCAGTGGTGCCAGCCTAGTCAGTAATGGTGAGAAATGCTAGAAGAAGAGGCTGAATGAACATCCACTGTAAAATGTCTAAAAAAAAGAAAGTCGCTTGCTCTATCATACAAAGATATTCTAACAAATTAGGCTTTATAAAGGCAACAAATCAATGCCAACATAAATAAGATCCTTCGATTTCGAAACAACTTGCTTTACTGCTTCAGCAAATTTATTTATTATATAATTCGAGACCAAAATTACGTTAGCCAAATCTGAAATCTATTTACCTGTAGATGTAAGCTTTTTCGAAATGAATAAACAAGCTTTATGTAGAGATAATCAATTGAAGAATGGCTAGCTTATAATTTTTTGTATGATCTTTTTATATTTTTCTTAAAAGTTTTAAAATAGGGAGTTTAAGAATCCTCAAACGATAATCTTTCGGACAAAGCTATATTTTGCTGAACAAAACTTTTAAATCGAGCTACTCAAAAAATGAAATCTAAAATCATAACTAACCTTAACTTCAGCAATACAAGTCATATTTATAACATAATTTAACTTGTTAAATGTGGTTTAATAATAATAAATAATAATCGCAATTTATTTAATGCAGATTTAAGTAATTCATTAAGAAGTTCTCAAGATTGATAATATTGCCAGGTTAATAACTTTATATGAGAAATTTAAAAAGATTTTTCAAGGAAGCCTTCAACTCATAGGTTTAAAGGATTACTTGCTCTTGGCATTTCCCTAAGTTGATTTGGTTTGATCGAGGAAGAGTGTATTTTCATGCCGAACTCAACTAAGCCACCCTTCTGCGGTTTAACTATTTCTTCAATCTTTTTTCATTTTTTAACATCTTGGTTATGGCTATGGTGCTACTTTTGTGATTCTTTATTTAATTTCAGTTGCCTTTGAAAGACTCAAAAAGGTAAGCATAGTGGATAGAGGCGCTCGGCACTATATAATAACTTGAATTAACAGTGGATTTCAAAGGGATTTTGACTGCTTAACTACCTGTATATACCTCCTTCTAGTTCAATATATAAACATAAATAAAAATAAAATTACACGTCTGCTTTCGCTAGTAAAAATGGTTGCTAATATTTTTTTTAGAAGCTATACAGAGTTAGATCGAGGCTGATGGTGAGCTGGCGGAAATCGAAGCATGAAGTTTTCGGAATAATATTCCGGAAATATCAGGTATTGTTACCTATATTACTTCAAATTTTTTACTAAATTTTTTGCTTTGTTTCAAGTGCTTGTTTGCTGTCGATTTCTTAGACCATGTTTGGACAAAGTAAAATAAATTAAATAAAGCAAAAGAAGGATAAAACAGAGGATAAAATATCCGTTTATCCTTCTTGATCTGCTATAACTCTGCAGTGATCCATAAGTTATAGCCTCATATCTTGATTTATATGTAAAGAGAAAGAGTTTGTGAATGAATTTAAGAAGGAAAAAAATTGCAGTTTAATTTTTTCCATCTAAAGAACTATTTTTACTCTAACATTTTTTAGAAGTGGTTGTTAGGTTTGAAAAAATGTATAATGAGATCCTCAAGAATTCCGACGGATACGAGGAAATTTCGGAGAAAATTGCATCCTATTCCAGGTTAATCATGTAAATTTAACTATTCTGTTTTGAATATGCATTTTTAGTATTGTAAAGAGTACTACAATAAAAACAATAAAAATTATGTTTATAATTTTATAGCCAAATTTGCTGTTGGTGTTTCAGATCGACCAGTTAGGCGAGTTACTTCCAAGTTAGTTCGCCGATCAACAAGTGAATTACAAAGAATGCTTCGAAAAGTCAGTTTTACTGAAAAGCTAAACACTCGTCGGATACTATGTCGTATTTTAAATTTTTTAGTTATTTTTGTTGTTCTGCGATAATTAACTAAAAAGGCGTTGAAAGGCTCAGTAAGTTGTTGTTCATTCGGAGCAGCAATGCAGAGATTTTACTCCTTAAGATTCTTTCAAAAATCCGGCTAATGATGGCGACTTGCACCTTTATCCGCCAAATGATTGATTCCTTGGTAAAACTTTATCTGGTCCGATAAGCCAGTGGAAAGAGCCTAACGTTATTACCTCCTTAGTTATCGTTTTACCATAATATCGCTTCGCAATTAAATGCAGTGGGGCATGCCAAGCGTGGATTATCCAACTAAAATGAATAAATTTTTCTTTAAAAGAAAAGCTCAACCAGTGGAGCTTAATTAATGATTTAGGTCAGATTCATATCACACACTAAATATCACAGCTGATAATCTGCTACTTTACCGAAAAGTTAATAAAGTGATAAGAAATCCGGAAATAGTGAGCGCTCTTAGAGAAAAATTAGCGAAAAAAAAACAAAATGATCCAAAAAGAGCAATCATGTAGAGTAAAGCATTTATAAATTTACGAATAACAAACATTTTATTAGATATATTCTATGAGCAATGTCACAAGAAAAAATTTGTCGTGAAACCTTAGTCCAAAATTCAATGATTATACTATTTATTTTCATTATCATCACTATTGTTTATGGGCTGTTATTATCGGCAAAAACATTTTAAAGAATCAGGTATTTTTAAAACTTTAATTAAATTGATAAATTGGCAATTAGATCGATTCTATAGGGTGATCACTGGAGTGCCAACGATTTGTTCCGATTTCAATGCAGCAATCAGGACGCTTATGTTACTGGAGAATACAAAGCTATATGTGAGGAATGGTTGCGTCGCTTGAATTCTATTCCCAAGAAATATTGCTATCTTTCTTGGTAAATTTTAAAGGATATTTAAAATTTTTTTCACTGTTTCTGACCTCATTGAATCCACTGTTCAGTTCAATGATATCAACTTACTGATAAATTTTCTTTATCAAAAATTCTAGGTATGCAGCTGCAATTTATTCTTGCTACTACCGATTAGCGCCGCTGGTAACAAATGCAATTCAAAAACGAGAACTATGGAATGAAGCGAAGAGAGAATATGCGGAGATTTATTTAATGGGAAGAAGAATCTGGCGAAGGCCAACTCATCCAAGTCGGCTTCGCGTTATTTATGATCTTGGAATGTTATGTGTAAAATTCAACGATATACAGGTTTATTCTGCTTTGTTTACATATCTAGATTTGTTTAAAAAACATTCGAGGCAGTACTATAGGATTAATTTAAAAAAGTAGGTTAATTTGCCATTATAATCTCAGTAATTCGTGTACTAATCAAATGAATTATCAAAAACTATGGAAAAAAACTTTAGTTTTCTTTTGGCTTGAAATGTGAAACAAGGGTAGATTTCTTTTTCTAATAACATTACTGAATGGCTCCGCTGGCTATAAACGCCTCCAAGTTGTTCGATCTAATGCCATCGGTGACAATGATAGAAAGCCATTTCTTTTCCATCGTAAATCCATATATCGCTGGTCTCCCTATACATTTAAAATCTTTCTTAATTGTATCAGTCCAGGTTCTGATTGGTCCTCCTTGCTTTTGGCGCCATCCATCACAGGGTCCAGCTAGCAGCGAAATACTTGTCAACCTGTGGTGAACGACGAAAAACGTGTCCTAACCAGAGAAGGCAACGCTTTTTGACGGTTAATGCAAGTGGTGTTCGAGCAAAGATGAATGCAATCACGTGAGGTTTTATCCGCTCGGTAAATCTATAAAATGTATCTTAGAATGAGTGGATAAAGGAAGAGTACTTCTTAATAGCCTCCACTCTCATCGGTCATGTCTCGAAGCTATAAAATCAAGCGATTTTGAATTTATATAGACGTGGACTTTCGTTTTTATAGTAATTCCGCGACGTCTCCATAAAGATTTCGGAAGAACGCATTTCTAGCTATCGTTATTCTGGTTGTAATTTCGTCTTTCGCTTTACAATTTAGGACTAGAGTGGATCCAATACTTCTGAAGTCTGGCACTTCCTCAATCGGCGACGAATTGATAAAAACAGGTATTTTAGCCTCTTGTATATAGCAATATTCCATCAATCTCCAAAGCGTTGCTCTATCAAATCTCGTACTGACATAAGCCTTAGTAGGAGGAAACGAAAATTTCCACGAAGATGTCTAGTAGGCTGATTCCTTGATAATTATCACATTATGCCCTGCCACCTTCTTTAGGAATTGAGAGCGAAATTGCTTTGCTTCAGACATCTGGTAATATTCCTTTTTCTATACTAGAGAGTGTGATATAGAGGACAATAGACATTTGAAAAGTTCGAATCGAAGACCATCTTTTTGCAGAGGTTTTGTTGACCTTAAGCCTCTGAATGACGAGATTATTTCCTATTCTGATAGCTATTCGCAGTTGTAAGCATATGATTCGACACGGGTCAACTATATTAGATGGCGCATCGTGGTTAAGTTTGGCCTCAAAGGACTTTCCACCTAATGAAGTGGTCCTTAGTAGTCTTAACAGGCAAACCATTGCCATTCCTTACCATTTCACTTCGTTCTCCGAGTTACTTTTATGAAGAAGGCGAAATAGTCTTCTTTTTATCGCCCAGTCGAGCCGCCATCTCCATACTCAAGGCTATATCAGTACAATAGCGATTTCTGTCCTGCCGTGCAGTTCATCGAAGTATCCAATAGACAGAATCTCCTGACATTCGTGCTTTGGCAACCTTCAGATAGCTGGACAGTTATTTCTGACATCTAACTAGCGAATTTCTTACTAGTATGGAAATGGCTGACTATCGTAAGCATGCCTTTAATTGGGATCAGTATTCATCCGCAGTTCCAGAGATGTCAATGATGTTCATTTCGCTGAGATGCTTCAGTGATTCGATTTGAAATGTCCTTAGTCCCCGAATTTTTTAATTTGAGATAGTTGAAAGATCTCGGGGAATTTTCTGCGAGTAGTCAGTTTTATGTGGATCTTGGTTCAAGCCATAATATGATTAGACCCATGAAGGTTACCGTTAAGAACGCTAAAACTGGCAATTTTCATTTTCATGAATCAGGCCATGCTTTGGTTCGAGTGAAGATCTATATAAAACTGACAATTCACAGGAGTCAGTGATTTCTAAATCTTTTATCTATCTCAAGTAAAAAGATTTTGTGGATAACAAACGCATTCGAGCTGAATTATCAAAATACCTCATTAATGTAAACATCAATGACACCTATAGAACGTGCGATGAATACTGGTCTCAGCTAAAGGAATGTTTCCGAAAGTTGTCGGTTACTAACAAATATGAAATTCTGTCAACGAAATATAATGAGTTTGGTTAGAATGTTGATTATCGGAAGGATTCCATATGATTAGATGTCTTCATTGCCAGAAGTATGCAGTGGCAGCAAAAAGTCAATGATTTTCGACGAAGGCGCTCTCCATTCGCACTGGACCACGACACTACATTTGCCAACCATGAAATCTACAGTGGCAGCACCATCATGAACTAGATGCGCATTCTAGTCTTCTCCAATTATGCCGTGTCACCTTTCGATAGAAATTGAAGCTCAGCATAGAACTTATCCTTGTCGCCGTCATCTGCGTATAAAGTTGAAACACTGTTGACCGAAATATTGCAAAATTCGAGCATGTTTACCGACTTCCACACAGGCTGGGCAAAGCTTTTTCAGTCATTGCAACCGCGATGCCGTTTCGCCTCGAGTTATCTAAAACATCACAATCATAAAGCAAGCACCTCTGCTCAAAGCAAGATTTTACTAAATGCTCAAGACTCAAAATAAAGAAGATGCACCTCCGATAAGCAAGCGACATCCATATAATATTTAGAAAGAGTGTAGACAATGATCGCTTGGCTTGCAACATCCATAAGCGTTCTGACACCCTATTCTTGTGGTCGTTTTACTTCTCAGATTGCGAACTTATCGGATGTATCCCCGTGCTGGGAGTATCATGCACATCGGAGGATGCAGACACCGTGCCAAAAAAAGTCTTTCAACACAGCAGCTACCTGGACTTTTGATACCATGGCAGGGGTTTCTCTTGTCGAAGAGATGAATCAATGAGGTGGAAAATAAAATAGAGAACAAAAGAAAAATAAACTTTAAAAAAAAAAAAGAAATATATTACACAACAATGGTGAGTATTTATTCATTGATAGGAGATAGAACAGTTAGTTGGCACAACGGCTCACAACTAATTAATTCGTTTATTAACTTTTTCATCATCATTCACTGCCATTTTTCAGGATGATGGTACAATAACGTTATTTCATGATTTGCTTCAAGATTATGATAATTTCAACTTTGAAGTCCTTGATGAAGTTGAATACGCTGAATCTATTGATAAGGTGATTTCTATTTTTGTCACTGCAATATTTGTTCATCATTTAGCCGAGGTGAAGAATTGAACAAGCAGAGTTTTTCATAAATGGTGTGATTGTAGAGAATGGTGGTAAATCGTCTCTAGAAAAAGCATTTCATCTGAAGTAGCTCACGTTGCATTGGATTGTTATCACATCTTATAAATTCAATTCTTGATGGTGATATTTCAGTAAATTTCTTAAAACTTGAAATCATACGAAAAATATTGTCGTTTTTTCAGGTTGTTCAGCTAGAAAATCACGTGATTGACTTATATTTTGTTCGCAGAAAATCAACAAATTTTTTACGTTCCAGTGCCAGATCTCGCCAAGATTCTGAGACACTTCGCAATAGCTTTGGGATCAAAAATTCGTTTAAGGACGACAAGGCTGTAATTTTGAAGAATACTACGGCAGATTTTGACATTTCTTTATTGACCCGCATGTTACTTATGTGCTAGATTTATCTCTATAGGAAGAAACTGTTGCTTGCTTAAGTTTTCTAAGATCCACAATTAACCTCATCAGATTTTTCACAACATTTGCGATCTATAAAAGTTGCTGAAATTGATACATAGAAAAAAACTTCGCTGAAAGTTTGTTTTTTTCCTACTTGAGAAAACTGAAGTTTGAAAATGTCCATTATTATTCATTTCAGAGGAGAACACAGTCGTTTAATTGTGGTTCTTTGCATTCCTCGAAAAAGATGGAGAAAGTGGGGAAAAGCAAAACAACATTACAAGTGAAATCTGAGGAGCATGCCATCTCTACTGGAGCTTCAACATCTCGTCGAAGATCGTTTAAATTTGGTGTACGATTTGTTTCTAAGGATTTAAAAGAGAAAAATGAAGTTGAAAATGGCGAGTGTTTAGTAGAAGGGTTCGTATCTGAAAAAGAAACTTCCGTCAATAATGAAGAAATAACACAAAATGAAAATCATTCATATAATTTATCAAATAATTTTCCTTCTAAAATTCAAGATATATCACTTATAAAATTGCCAGATATTTCTTCAGTTCAAAAAAGTCTCTATTCAGCTATCAGAATGGAATGTAATTGGAGTGGACAAGTCTTAAAAATTTAATTTAAGCTCTTTGTGCTTCGAATACATATCACGCATTTTCCCAATTTTTTTGTTGTTTCTTAATTAATTTTCTTCAAAAAATGATAAAAATTTTCAAATTCATGCGAAGAAATGGACGGGGTCAATATCAAAAAAAAGCTTAGAACTAAATACTAATCTAAGCAGTTACCATTTGCCCATCATTTCTTCAGTATGATATATTTGGCTATACTTGGCTATCTTTCTCCAATATGTGGATTACTGTATTGTCAGCTGATCTATTTTTTATTTCATTATTTTTTCTCTCATAATGCTATCGTTCGTTTCGTGATCAACATTGAAATCTTCATTTATTTTTAGGTGGTTGGAAGTGAGCGCATTCATTTTTTCGATATTTTATTAAAATGGTTCGATAGTTTAGTTAATTGAGTTGAACTGTTTCCTTATTTTTTTTTTATAGTATAGAAAGAAGATCGATTGTATAAAAAAGCTGCTCAATTTGCACATTTTTCATAAAGACTAATTCTACGAAAAACCATGGCTTTCTTCTACTCTTAGAGACTTTTCGAATTTGGTTCTTATTTCTTCAAGAGAATTCATTAGAAGTTTCATTCATTGATTATTTTTTATATTAAGATGCTGTATATATTGATATTCATTTGCTACCTTTTCTTTTCTTTAAAGAAATAAATAAGTTTATTAAGAAAAACTTATCATCAGTATTCGACATGGAAAAAGTAACGTAAAACAACGTACGAGAGAATATACCTCACTTTTTCACTTTTTTTTCGCGAATGTTAAATATTAGCAAACCAAAAAATTTCACCTATTAGTTGGAACAAAGAGATAGAGACATAAGTAAATTTAATCTGATATCTGATCTCGGTATATTATAGTATGACTGGTAATCAGCGTTTCTAGAGGAATGAAGGAATGGATAGCCTGATACACATTTCCATTTTTGCCTTTGATGGAGGCTCATTATCTTGTTATATGATCATCTCTTCAATTTCTTCTCTGAAAATATCTTTGAAAATTTGTTAATGTTCTGATTTTTATCAACTATAGTTTTCGTGATTAATTTCGAGTTTTGACGAATGATGACGAGAACCGTTTAGTGTTCTATCGTCTAAATTCTGATTATAGCAAAAAAAAAGATGAACAAGTCTAATTAAGACTGGCAAACATTTTACATAAAGAATTCTCATAATAATCTAATTGCAGGCGCCAACTATCATATAACAACTATCAAACCTATTAATTTAACAATGAGAAGATTGAATCAGGGAGGGATTTATCCTGAAGAAATTATTGATAACTGTCAATATCGCCGTTGCAAAATTCACGTGCAGGTAGTTTTTGGTCAAAGTTAGAAGAGTTAGGAGGAGGGAGATCATTGTTCTTAGTTTCCCTTCACAATTTCCATTAAATAATTTCTAAGATCGCTGTTCGCAACAGTAAATCTGCCATCAAAAATGAAATCACGGTAATGCCTGCATTCATTTATTTTGAAAGAGCATTTTCCTAATCAATTGGCATTTTATGGCTTTCGTTTTCGTGAATTAGTTGTTTATTGCTCCTAAAGCAATAAAAAAGAATTAAAATAATTTGATTCTTACATTTTATGCCACAAAATTTAGGGTTTAAAGGATTCCTCGAAAAGATACCTTTAAAAAGCCATTGTATAGTGATCATTATCCATATTAATCCTCTCAAAGAAGTTTCATTTAAGACTGGCAAACATTATACATAAAGAATTCTCATAATAATCTAATTGCAGGCGCCAACTTTTGTTTCAATTTATTTTTGCGATTATCTTCATTAGTGAAATTAATTAAGCATCACATATCTTCTTTCTTTTTGGTTTTTATTATATCGTAATTAAAAAATTCATTGGTCAAAAAAATATTACACGTTTAAAAATTATAAAATTACACGTTTCATATAGAACACGGTAAATTATGTTTCCAGTGACCCAAGGATTATTTAAACGAAAATTTTGTTAAAATCTTTTTATTGATAGAAATCGCAGTGGATGACATTTGCTTAATGAAACAAACCACGGCTCAACAATAAGTTTATATAGAAAGAATAGTACGTAATTCATGTTAGAACCCTTTCAGTTGGTAACTACTGGTAACTACACTATTGGCTTTCACTAATTTTGGTTTATTTTTTTAGACAATTCTATTGTCCTATTCTGTAATAACATTATTGATGTCCATAATTGCAATAATTGTGGGATCACTGCTGGTTTTGTATCCAAATTTCCACCGCGGACTACCTGTTTATAAAGAAATTTTTCAGGTATCATTTACGATACTTTTTTATCGGTTTCAGTTGAACAACACCATTATTATTATTTCAGACCTTTTCTTCTTCTTCTAACAGTTCTCACTATTACTAGTTAGGCTGGCTCCAGCGGCTGCAAGGGTAAGACGCTTCGAAGAGACGCGGTCTGATGCCATCATCGACAGTTATAGAAGCTATTTCTTTTTCCATCGTCTAAGTCCATATATTGCTGGTCCACCTATACGTTCAAGATCTTTCCTGACCGCATTAGGCCAGGTCTTAATTGACTTATCTCACTTTTGACGCCATCCATCAAATGGCTTAGAAATTAACGAAATATGTGTCAATTCTTGTGGTGATTGATGAAGAAAGTGTCCTAACTAACGAAGGTGATGGTACTGTTATTGCAAGTGATATTTGAATGAAGGTGGATGCGATCATGTGAGATTTTATCCACTTGGTAAACCCGTAAAATGTATTTTAGACATGTGATAAAAGGCAGATAGCTTCTTAATATTCCTCCACTTTCAATGGGCGTGTCGCTTAGCAAGATCGAATGAATCTCGCCAATATAGATGCGAAGTTTTGTTTTTATGGTGATTTCACGACAGCTCCAGAAAGGTCACATCAACTGGAAGAACGCATTTCTAGCTGCCGTAATCGGGGGTGTAATATCGTTTTTTGTTTTGGCCATTCAGTATTAGAGTGGATCCAAAGTATTTAATATTGGGCATTTCCTCAACTGGTAATGAATTTATAAAAAGAGGCATTTTGCCACCTTCTTGTTTATAAGACGAAAATGATTTTATCTTATTTACACCAACCCTGAGTATAATTCTCGCTGCAGTTGCTGATTTCTTGATTTCACATTATTTAGCATTACCTGCATTTCGTCCTAACTGAATCAACAAAAAAGACTACATCATCAAGATTTCTAATCCAATGCTCTTGACTGATTTGTACAACTTTTGAGTGCCGACAAGCGGTGCTCATTATCCAGTCTATCGCATAGGGGAAAAGACATAACTTTGACGGACGACAGTTCTTATTTTGAAGGATTCTGTCAATTCCTCATATACACAGACCTGTGCCTACGTACGCTCATAAAACGCGTTTATGAGTCGAATGATTTTTTCTGGAACATCGTCGAGTTCCATCACCCTTCAAAGCGCGGCTCTATCAAATGAATCGAAGGCAGCCGCAAAGTCGATGAAACACGTGACGGTGTATCACAAATATGTGAAGGGATGTTCCAAAACCCTTCTTAACCTGAAAATCTGATCAGCACAACCAGGCCCAGTATAAATCTAGCTTGATTAGGGGCATCCTGCTGTCCCATACTTCCATGAATCTACTGAGTAAAAAGGAAGCAAAAATTTTCGCTGAGACGTCCAGTAAGTTGATTCCTCGATAATTGTCTCAGTATGTTCTGTATCTTTCTTAAAAATTGAGAGCAGAATTAATATTTCTTTTTTCCATACCAGAGAGTACATTTGTTGAAGGTGCGTTATGAAGGGTGATGGATAGCATTTGAAGAGTTCAGCCCGAAGACCATCTTCTCCCGGAGTCTTATTGGCCTTATGGATAACGGAAATTGTTTCTTCTATTGGAGGCTCGCAATTGCAAGCGTATAGTTCGGCGAACGTATCAGCTATATCAAAGGCAACAGATGACGCTTCATGGTCAAGTTTGTATTCTCAAAGAATTCTTTCCATCTTATGAGTCGGTCCTTAATATTCTTAACACGCCATTGCTGTACCTTATCATTTCACTGATCGTTTTCCGAATTACAATTGCTTTATGAAGACGGCGGAATAGCTTCCTCTTATCGCCTTATCGAGCCGCCGTCTCCATTCTCGAGGCCATATCACTCCAATAGTGATTTCTATCCCGCTGTGCTTTCCCTTTCATTTCAAATCTTCGAAACGCCGGGTAGTCAGGATCACCTGACATTCGTGCTTTGGCAGCTTTTTCAGACAATTGGACAGTTACTTCCGATACCCAACTAGCGCACTTCCCACTAGTTTGGCCTAGCGTGGAAGTGGCTGATTTTCGGAGACATTCCTTTAGTTTGGACCAGTATTCATTTGCCGTTCCAAAAAAGTTATTGATATTTGTATCATAGAGATACTTCAATAATTCGATTTGAAATGCGCTCATTGTTCCCAAATTTTTCAGTTTGAGATAGTTGAAGGATCTTGGGGGATGCTGTTTTCTGCGAGTTGCCAATTTTATGCGGATCTTGGCTGTAATCATAACATGGTCAGATACATAAAAGATTGCCCATTTGTCAGATTTTCTACGATGTTGGAAGCAAGTAATTGTTCATGCTCTTCGGCATAACAAAAAAGGCGTTCCCATTTAGCGCACAGGTCGCCATACATGTCAATTTTCGAGGCCACCGCAGCGGCATTATAACCTACGGGCACATTTCAATCTAACCCGATTATGATCATGTCACGTTTCGATACAGACTTTATTAGCAGTTGAAGCTCCAAACAAAACTTATCTTTATCACAGTCATCTACCGTCAGAGTTGGAGCATAGACACTGATGACCGAGATATTGCTGAACTCACCTTTAAAACTTACCTTTATTTGGATAGGCCATGCGTTCACTTACCGGTTTCCACTTCAATCGAAGCGCAATGGGCTTTCTCAGATATGACAATCGCTACGCCATTTCTCCCCGAGTTATCCGTAGCACCACAGTATAGCCAGTACTTCTGCTCCGAACAAGGATTAGTAATTACTCGAGACCCGAAGTGAGGATTACGGACCTGCGGCAAGCAAACGATATCCACACGATATTTGGAAAGGGTGTGGACAATGATCGCTTGACTTGCAACGTCCATAAGCGTTTTGACGTTCCACGCTGATACGGCTAACCTATCCGCACGAGCAGAAAGCTGTTCCCCTTGATAGGTTTCGAGCAAATATCCTGGCTTGCGAGCACGTTTTATTTATGAACCTTGGGATCGTTTTACGCCCAGATTGTACTTATCGCATGTACCACCGGACTGGTAGTATCGTGCGCTTCGGAAGACGCAGACGCCGTATATCTGATCCTTACACCAAATAGGCTCACTTAGGGATAGAGTTAAAGATGGGTCTCCAGCAACCACTCCGTTTTTCGACATAGCAGGTTTACTTGTCAAAGACAGACATAAATATTTTATAATATTATTTATTTTATAATATTATTATAAATTTTATGTATATATTTATTTTTTATTTCAATTCTTTGTTTTTAAATTTAGAAAAAATAAAAAAAAACTTAACTCGTAGTTTTATATAGTTTTCTAAAAATATTCGGAAAAGAATTTACAGCGGAATAGCAATACAACCGCTCAAAATCAAACCAGATCGACCACCTCTGATTGCTCATACTTGCGTATTTAATCCAAAAAACCTCTAGTCCTCTACTTTGAACCTATATTGAAATTTTGACTTTTATTCGATAAATTTTTCACAGCCAATAAAGACTGTTGCTGCTGTAAAATTAATTGTTTCGCATGGGAATCGTATAAAGAAATAATATTTATTTTATTCGCAGCTAATGCTGTTCGAAAATTTTTGTGTAAAATTGCAAATAAAAGACTAATGTCCTGAAAGAATGGCTGTCAAAAAATAGAGATAACTGTGAGCTAATTTATTTTATTTTGTTATCTGGAAGTCCATCAAATTCTAAGACTTGGGTATGAAATTTTCCGCGGTTTATGATTTATCGATGATACAGTGAATGCATTGTAGCACTATGCGCGAAATAGATCAGCTCTCTATCTACTGTTTTATAATATTGCCATATACATTTGGATCGCTACTCATGGAATTCATGTTACTACGCTCATTACGACTTTTCTTGGTATCCGAGTGAGTCATTCTAAATTTATAGACATTTTTAATTGGCTGTTCCTTAGATTTAATTCATTTTCTAGCAATAAATTGTTGAAGTAAGTTAAATATTTTAAGATTTCGATTTTTATTGGTGATCTGGTAAACCAGACTTTAGAGATTGCTTAAAATGTTCAGCGCGACGCCATATAATTCACTTCTTGACATCTGTCGTTTGTAGAGTTTTGAGTTTGTTTACTTGCAATATATGATGCTTTTCTTTTTTGTCCCTGTTTATTTGATTTATTAATTCTTTTGCAGTTAATTATGCCTCATCTCCTTTTGCCGCAACTGATTGTTTTAAACTTTTTTATGGGTTGCTTTATAATATGTATTTTGTCATTAATAACATTCAATTTTATCGGGTCTCATTTTCTGTGGTTATCCACTTTAATTATCATCTTATACAGTTGTTCTACAGCGTAAGTTTTGTTATCTCATTTTGTTTCTTTTAAATAACAAATCTTAACTTATTTCGTCTAATGAATGGTTATAAAATGCCTTGCTAGCGTGAGGTCGTTTCGGCAAAATTTTCTTGCTGTATTGAATTATTTGTCGCTTTCTGCATTTATCCCTAATTTAGTAGGAATTGTTCTTCTATTCTCTCTTTATATCTATTTACTCTTTTATCTGTTAATTTTCTAATCTTCGTGATTATGAAATTGGCTTCTTTTCGCTTGTATCTTTGGCTTGTATCTTTTCTTGATAGGGGCTAAGCCGTCAGAAAACTATGAGGTGGCTGCGTGGGCTCACCTGTATTTATATTCCCAAGTTAATGTATGATGGGTCCGATTATGTGGATAAAGTCCGCGCATTTCAACGCGCATGTTGTCCCTAGCCTGGTAGTATATATGACAAGCATATAGGCCGAGTTTAATAAAATGATTCCTAAGTTTGACTATAAAATGAAAGATGTGCCCTTGAGCCAAGAACTGCTCGAGACCTGTTAATGGAGACTATTCGACTCTATATAGACGCGGCAAGATCACAGCACGGAACGTCAGAATCATCATGGGCGTCGGGAATCAGATGACAATCATCCAAATTTTGTCCAGTGAACATCTGTGGACATGTTGTGAACATCATCTGTTTGTTGGGAAGTTCGTCTTCCTACTTCGGGTCTCGTGCAATTATTATATCTTACATGGTGCAGAGGTGCTAACTGTATTATCGTGGTGCTTCATATAATTTGGGACGAAACGGCGTAGCGATTGCGAAAGAGCTGTGATTACGTGGAAACTGGTAAACGACCATGCGGCCTATACTCGCTTCAAACGAAAGCTCTGCAATATTTCGGTCATCATTGCTCCAACCTTATGCGCAGATGACTGCGACAAAGATAAGTTCCATGCGAAACTTAGATTTTTTCGTAAAGAAAGTAAATATAATCATATTTATGTATAAAATTCGAAGCTCGCCACATTATTGAATCGACTTTTCCTATGAACTTTATTTTGAACGGTGAAATTTGTTTTACAACATCTCTACCGAAAGATGACATGGCATAACGAAGGCTAGAATGCGTGTCTAGTTCATGATGCTGCCACTGTAGATTTCATGGTTGGCAAATGTAGTGTCGTGGTCCAGTGTGAATGGAGAGCGCCTTCGTCGAAAATCATTGACTTTTTGCTGCCACTGCATACTTCTGGCAGTGAAGACATCTAATCATATGGAATCCTTCCGATAATCAACATTCTAACCAAACTTATTATATTTCATTGAAAGAATTTTATATTTGGTAGCCATTTCTTAACTCTAAAATTGGTTTTCATGAATCATTTTGGTTCAAGGCAAGATTTATATAAAACTGACAATTCATAAAAAACAGCGATTCCTAAATCTTCCAACTATCTGAAGTAGAAAGATTTAGGGACAATAAACGCATTAAAGCCGAATTATCGAAATATCTCATTGATGTAAACATCTAGTGACATCTCTGGATCTTGCAGTGAATGCTGGCCTCAGCTAAAGGCATGTCTCCGAAAGTCATCGGTCAAATCCACGCTAGGATATGCGACTCGGAAATGCAGCAGTTGTATATTGCAGCAGTAGCCCAACTATCCGAAAAGGATGCTAGAGAACATCAGGAGATCCTAGTTATCCGACCTTTCGAAGATATACAACAACAGGAATATGGCAAGACAGCAAAAAATTATTGCTGGAGTAGTAGATGACAGTAGGAAATTATTAAGCTTTTTCCATAAAGCAGTTCGGGAAACGGCCAGTAAAATGACCCGGGATGATAATGATATGTCTGTTAAGACCATCAAAGACTTTGTTTGATTAAGGGAATTCTTTGGGAGTGAGCTTAACCGTAATGTTATCTGCCATCCACATAGCTGAAATTCTCGCAGTACCAATATATTTGCAAGTGCTACCCGACAGAGCGAAAAATAATTTCCGTCATTTAGAAGCTTAAGACTAATAAAACTCCTGGAGGAAATATTCTTCAAGTTGAAGTTGCCGCCTTAAAGTGTTGCTTAACAACTGTCCTTCAGCGAATGTACGCTATGGAAGAAAGAATATAAATCAGATAGTAAAACAGTCTTGCTCCCAATCCCCAAGAAGATGACACCGTTGAATAATTAGCTTGTTAGACGTCTCTGAAAAAATTTTCGCCTTCATTCTGCTGAAATATTTATAGCAGTAACAGACGGTAGATTTTATCCTAACTATCTAGACGGGAGAGCGGGTTTGCTGAACAAATATTCATGCTAAAAGGGCATTGTTTCAAATGTCAGCAACACATCTTTATTGACCCTGCAGCTGCTTTCAGTTCAGTTGATAAAGCAGCGCTGGACAACGTGATGAAATGCGACGGTGTTCGAGATCATCCGACTCGTAGAGGCTAGCATACATCTGTGTATAGGTCTGTATATATGAGAAATTGACAGAAATAAGAACTGGTGCCTTTCAGTGCAATGCACTCTCCCCTATATTTACAATATTCAACTATGTGATAGATCGAAATGGTCATTGCTTGCGGGCACTTAAGAAGTGTACAGATCAGTTCAGAGCATAACGTCTCAAATGCTGGTGATGCAGTCCTTTTTATGAAGACATGCAAATGATGCTAAACAATCGACAGTAGCAAAAATCTAGCTCAGGATCATAAATAAATAAGACAGAGGTTTTACATAGCAGATGTTGATAAAATATTTTAATAAGCTCATCAGAGGAAGTGTTAAATTTCAAAACATATTGAATTCATTCTAATCGCAGGATTTGATGCATATTTCACTACTCCGTAAACTTTCTGATAGATAAGGTTAAAAGCGAGGAGGGCTAGTTAAAAGCTGAACTGCTAGCAACTCAGTGATATATAGGCTCAGAAGGTGGAGCTCAGGCATGGCATCAGATCATGAAGCTTGGAGGCTTCTTATTGTTATAGCAAACGGAGCCAGCCTAACCAGTTATAGGAGCTGTTAGAAAAATGAACCTGGACTGGAATGAGAGTGTGGCTCTAAATTGAACTGGCTGAAAGTGTGGCTGCCAAATTCGATAAGTTCAATTTTTATTACAAACATTTGCGATAAATTGGCTTGATATAACTTTGAAATTTTCAAAAATTTTCAATGTACTCAATACTTCAATATTCAATCTTTAAAATGATCTTATGTTTATAGATTTCTTTCAGGATAAATTTGTACTTTCTAGTGTTATCCTACCGCTATGTGGCTGAACGACGAGAGGCTATTCGGCGGATACTGGCAAGCACCAAAACGGTCAAGTTTAAACGGTCTCAGATGAAATAAACGCTAGCTTTTCCCAAATTTTCGCCACCGAGCACTATAAGTTACAGCGTATTTACAGAACACTTGAATTTGTGGTTATTTGGTTTTAAAAACAAACAAACTGTTTGTTTCCCAAGCGTTGATACAAAATCAAATCATAAACATATAAATTTATATACAAAGCTTATTCGCTTGAGTATAATGCAATTATAAAAGTAAAGTAAACATCCAATCACATTTTCGATAAAAAAAAACAAAAACAAGACCGTTTTCTTGGCCTTTAAATTGCATATTCTCTTGATATTAGATCAAATCCTCATGTGAGGTATAGCATCAAATCTCTTCTTTCATTTTGTTTTTATTACAGCATAATATGAAAACATAATATGAAAATGCTGCCTCAAGTAAATAGACTGTGGTACTGAAAAATGTAGATATAAATAAAGTTTTACGAAGTTCCACAATTTGGGAGGCTGCCCACTGATAATAATCAACTGGTACTTGTGGGTATTGGTGCTTTTTGGATAATATATTAAATTTATAAGTAGCAACTTCAGAAGTTCAAGTATTATGTCCTCAAATCACATCATATAATTGCTTACAAAAATTCATTGTCCAATAAATGTATTGCCTAATGCGATTTTTCTCATTGCTTCTTATAAGAAATATTTTATCGTTAATCAGTCGACTTGAAGCAATTCCAGTGATCGTTTGGCTTAAATTGGCTTCATTTTAGGCCCATTACAGGTCATATGAACTGACTTATTCGAAATCAGCGTGCGGATAATCGATTTTATATTAAAATTGAATTTAAATGTAAGAGGAAGTGAATTCGTTAAAACAAAATTTGTTTGAAATTTTTCGAAGTGATTAGTGATTTTTTAAATTTTATTTCGAGCTGCTAAGCAAAAATTCATGAAATACCATTTGAGAGATCATTTCACTTAACAATCACTTAACAATGTTAACGCATCTTTTTTTGCTAAAATGTTTTGATACACCACTCGACCAACCTATCCCGTCACGACTTGGACCCGAGTGCTCTTAAGAATTTATGATTTAGAAAAGTGTGCAGTTTTCAGTCTAAGTAAGATTAAGCGAATAAACTTGTGGGAGTTCGAAAATTACAGTCTTCGCAAATCATTCTTCGTTTACGATCTTTTCCCACAAGTTTATTCGTTTAATCTTACTTAAACTGAAAACTGCACACTTTTCTAAATCATAAATTCTCTCTGCTGGCTGTAAAATAAATAATTCCGCTCCATAAGATGTATAAGCGTGTTGCCTGCAGCAAGTATTTTGGATTTTCGTCATTTGGTTGTTAATTCTTTCGGTTTGAAAATAATGTAACTCACAGAATATAGTTCATAAGAGCACTCGGGTCCAAGTCGTGACGGGATAGGTTGGTCGAGTGGTGTATTGCATCGACACATTGTAGCATAATTTAGATGTCGCATCCTTATAGTCAGCAGAGCTAGAAATGTTGAGTGTTCTTAGAAATAGAAGATTTAATTATGAGGTATAAGAAATTATCAAACATAAATTATTTGATTTGAGATAATATTATGAAATGTTTCGAAAAAATAATTTTTCTGCTAATTTTGTAGAAGTTTTTTCTCAGTTGAAGTTTCCATAGAAATATTTTGAACAATTTTTCAAAAAATTTTACAATTTTTTATTGTCGAAGTTCGTCAAGTTTGTCATAAAATACAAAGCCATTCTCAAACACTATAAAAAATCATGTCAAATTCTATTTCATCGAATTTTCGAGCTTTCTCCATGCGTTGATTAAATTCGTTTTTTTCTGAGGTGCTAATGAATAGTTCGTAATTAAATCTTATAGAATTCCAACTGTACCTTTCATTTTTCACAGAAGTAACTGCTCGTGTGTTATTGATTTTTTCCATTTGTCATCTGATGAAAAAATAAAATTTTTTTCTTTTCTGTCTGAAAGTAATATTCGATTAAAAAAAATATTATTTATATTATATATATATATATATATATTTAAAAATGGACTTTTATATTATATATATATGCATCAATACATAAGTGTTAGGGGTATTTTTGCGGAGCCTTCTGTACTTCTATCTCCGAATGACTCTCTGGTGAAACAATCTCATCCTAATAACCAATTGATCTTTGAATGGTAAATATGCTGCTCATAATCACATAACACTTTTTCCAAGCTAATATTATGAAAAATTAATTTTGGTCGATATGTAAATATTTGGCATTTTCATAAGTTTGATTTATATATGATTTTCATCAATAAAACTTCATGCTAGCAAAGCGAAGCCTTACAGCTATTGTTTTCAAAAGGTTATTTTCAAATGCTTAAGGCAATAGAATCGATAAGTGAAGAGCGATGAAGCTAGTTATGCAATAAATTTTGTCGCTCATTGCCGGCAAAAATTACTTCTCATGCTGCCTCAAGCGTGTTTCTATTACATTTTCGCGCATTTCTGTCGCTAATTTTTAAAACAACCTTAGTTTAAATAAATATTTGAAATATAAAATAGTTTATCGTTATCACTGGATTTATTATTGCACGTTGAAATGTTGTTCTCGAAATTTGTTGATTAACCCAGCACAATTTTTTTCTGTTTTCTTTTTTCTTGTTTTTTTGTTTCACCACTTCCAGTTAAGTTCGCTTCCTTTCAACTTGATGAGGTTGAGATCGTTTCGTAAATGAATCATTTGTTGAAATAGAAATTCACTTGGATCTGCAACACCTGTTTTATTTGACTTTTTTAACAGGCTTACCGTCAACGAACGGAGCGACCGAAATAACTAAGCAACAATCTCGCTGTATTAAATTATAATACTAACAAGTTTTCATGAACGATTAACGCATTTTATTATGGTTTTCACATATTTCAACATATGAATATAGAAAAAATCGCGTAGAGACTACGATTTTTAACCGTTTACACTTATTCATTTTGTAGTCCATATGTTCATATATCGACATTCCTTTTTTTCTATTTAATAAAGCAGTATTTGCTAACATTTTCGTTTTGATCGTCTGTTAAAAGCATTAATCATATTTGTATTTTTGCAGAACTTTAACGTTAGATATTTTCGGGGTTTTATTGTGAATCGTAGTAGTAGAAAGAAGGAGGAGTATCCTAAATTTTTACCTTAAGGGAGAACGAGGAGCGCGTAACGTTTTTTTGAAGCATTTTTTTATCAGAAAATATAAAAGATGCAATTCTTATGAATGTGGTTAAAAATTAGTACTTCGCATTACGAATTTAATTCTCATGGAGAACTTTCAATGATTATAATTATGATAACTATAACAATAAAATTATATTATTAATATTCGTGTCTCAGTGAAAAGTTAATTACCACCGAGAATTGATAGCGCATTTCGTCGGACACCAATGTCTCGGAGAAGGTAAAAGAGAGTAGAATGGCTGAATTGTTGCTCCTTTCGGGCACCGATGCTGAGGTTCTGATCATGGCGAGCGTTCTTCAAAAATCCGCGTGATGCTGGCAACCTGTATTTCTATCGCCAAAGGATTCCTAGGCATTTGTCTAACTCGACAAGCTAGCGAGTGAGCTTAACTAGCAATGGTGATGACTTTTTAAAAAAAAAGATAATAAAACCGCTGTCTCTGATGTTTAAACTCTGGAACTTCTTTCGAAATTTATTATTTTCAGTTTAATCAAACTTTCGAAAACATCGACATTACCTCATCGCTATTGATTCTTTCATTTCGTAAACATTGGTGCTCACGTAGTAAGGAGGTCTTCCAGAAAATTGGCTCGCTTCTCATCCATCGTTTTGTATTTACATTTCTTATCCATCCATCTACTCATCCATCAGTCATTCCATCACTTCAGTATTTAGCAGTAAAATTTAAATTCGTTATACTCCAGCTTTTGTATTTTCTTTTATTGTTTGCATTGTTCATTTACATTCATGTTTCAGTTAGCAAGTTTCGTAAAATTTTAAAACCTTTTCTTTCCCTCAATTTTCAGTTTTCTTTGTAGTTCTTCTTACAATTTTATTTTTTTATAGGAAACCAAAAAATTCATTTTTTATGATTTTTTCTTTTTATCAAAAAAATACGATATCTAAATAACTGAACTAAATTTTTTAAGGGAATTCATGAATAAATTGAGCGGAAATGGAACTGCTCGTTTTTTCTTTGCGGTCGGTTTTTTGCCAAGTCTCATGTCCTTTATTTTTCTCTGTTTTTTCATAAGTCATCTATCATATATTAGGCTTGCTGTGAGAAGCATTAACTTTTTAAAAAAATTTTAGCCCTGCAAATTCAGCAAGTTTTATGAAGTGCATTGTGCACTGTTCAGTTATTTTAACTTTTTATCATCCCACAATACCGTTTATACTGGTTCGACTTGTGCCCTTTGACCTTTACTTCCTTCGTGATTTCCGTTCATTTAAATTAAAATAACTGAACAGTGCATAATGATGACCTTCATTTCATAATATTTCACGCGTTGGTTTTTTTATAGATGAAAAGATTTATTTATTTATTTTAGACATTTATTTATTTATTTATTTATTTTAGATATGGATGCAAGAAAACTAAAGGAGGGCACAATTATGCGTTATAAAACAGTTCTTTTAGGCAAAAAATGGAAAGAATGTCATGCTGTATTGTTCAGCGATTCATCTTTTTGCTGGTACGATAAAAAGGTATGAAAATTTAGAGTATATATAGTATAGAATACTTCCATATAAGTTAGAACTTTCTATGGCATTTTATCGATAAAAATATTTTAGTAAAATACATAAATTCGAAACGTTTCCATATTTCTGAGTCTCCAAGAGAAAATTTTCCTTGTGGCTCGGACATTCCCTGCATTCAGTTTAAGTTATATTTGTCGATGGCTGAGTGGTATAATTCTTAATTTCCATGTTTCCTCTACAAGTGGATGAGTTTCGAAAGGATTATTTTTTACTATTTGATATTTCATTTTTTTTGAATCATTTAGGGAGATTCACGTCCTGCTGGCAAAGTTCTTCTAAAAGATTATATACCGTACATCTGTGTTGGATTGCTATGCGACAGAATGCCAAGTAGGCCTTATTCTTTGTTATTGTTCTTTACTATTACTATTATTTGCATTGTTCAGCATGGGCTGATTTCGGATAGATAGAAGTAAATCATAATTAAAGCTTCATTGTAAATATATACACCATAGGTTTGATTCCTGTCGTTTGATAGAAATAATTCTATCATTAGAAGTGAAATGCCGTAACCGACTTATATCTTCAATAGTCTCTATGGAGAAAGAGTTTTTATAGTTTTTATTTGTTTTCTAATGCTAATCAGTATTAATCTCTAATAATGAACGGACAATTTTCAGTACAAAGGCCGAAATTGCCTGACAATTACTCAGTGCACCATTTGGTTGGAATTGGAATGGATCCACAAGCCAACAAAGTTTTCTGGTTTTTGTTTTCGTCGGATTCAGATCTTGAGTAGGTCTAAAGTTATTGCAAATTTTATCCACAAAATATTTATTGGCATTTTTTTTTCATTATATACTGGCGATCATTGGCGATGAAATGAAAAAGAAAAGGAAAGTTTATTAGTTTTATCTTCTCCAGGTCTTGGTTTAATGAAATTACGAAGACGTTACCTAAGCCAGTACAACCTGCTTCTCAATTGCCCCCAAATGTACCAACTTCAGTTCCGCATTATAGTAAATTTTCATTTTAAATCAAATTACTGGAGATTTTTTTATTCTTGCTTTGATTGAATTTTGCAGTTTTGCAAAATTGGATTGCTTATGGCATTTCAGATCCTCCTGCAGTTTATCCAGCAAGTGCTCCTCTCCCTCCAGTACAGCAATATTCAGGTGGGCAACCATCACTGGTGGGATATAGTTCGCCACCATATAGCAGCTATCGACCAGTGCAAGGTATAGGAGGTAATACGGGATACGGTCCTGCGAGTTATGGCAGCGGTGCTCCTCAAACAACTGTCGTTATCCAAGTATTTTATGATATATTGTTTATTTTATATTCACCATTTTCGAAACACAATTTATTTTGACATATTGTTGCAGACAATATAATGGAAATTGCGAAGATTTAAATGCAAGAGATGTTAGTAAAAATAATTATTATTAAAATAAGTTAAGTATTTGATCTGCACACTATTACCGCAAATCTTATTTTTGTCAGGATCGAGGATATTCGAGTGGAAGTAGTAGCGGACCAGCGTTTGGAACTGGTCTTGGCGCTGGCATTTTGATGGGATCGCTTCTCGGCTACGGTGTAGGTAGCTTTTGGGGTGGAGGATTTTATCCAAGCTGTGGATTTGGTGGGCATGGAATGGCTTATGGTATGGGTGGCGGATATGTCCAGGTATGTTCCATTTTATTTTTTGTTGCACCAGTTATCATCTATTCGTCCGGCTCAGACTGTATTTAAAAAAAAAAAAATTATATGGTTCCACTTCATTACTCAGTGATTTAGATCCTTAGATCTTATCCTAGAACATGTTAATGGATTCAGCTCTTAGAATATTCTTTGAAGGATAATGACACGTATATAACGAATAATTACTATGGTGGGGCGGGTCCAGAAACTGATGCTGCTCAAAACACACTGGACGATAATACGATGGTTGGCAATGATGTCGATAATATAATTAACCATGATGGTGATACTGGCGCAGTTGATGGTAATAATGATCATGGCGCAGATTATGATTATCGTAATGGGGATTATGATGACTATGGTGGTGTTGATTTCGGCGGAGATGATTTTGGCGGCGGTGAATTTGGTGGCGATAATTTTGATGGAGGTGACTTTGGTGATTTCGGTGGTGGAGACTTTTGAGTAATATGATTGTGCCGTGTATCTATCTTTCGTTCTTAATAAAAATTTTTCTCAAAAAAGTTTAAATTTTAATATTGTTGTCAAACTTGGTTACTTTTCAACTTCTTAAACTATGTTTATCCTACTTTAATCAAATTCCTTTTTTTTGTTTTTATAATCTTTGTCGTTTAATCATTTTGAGCTAAACATTTTGAGAATCCTGTGTTTCCTGTTAATATATTTTATGATTGTATATTTAGAAGATTGATCTCGTAAAACTAAACTGGTTATCTTTTCCTATACCATCTTCACACTTTTTATGCTTTCGCATGTCTCTACCGAATTGTTTTTCTTGTTGCTTTGAAGAAAATTAGTAGTACTTTGTCAGCAACAACTAACTGAAAATGGCTTAATAAGTTATTACAATTTCCACTAATGATATTAAAAACCAATTGAATTTTTTGTACAAAATTTGGCATATCAGGGAAATATAAGAGATAACATAAGAAATATATATAAGAAAATATAAGTGCATCAAATTAACGAATTATGCACTAGTTAATAATATAAAGGGCCATATATGACAGCACTCAATTGTTTCATAAACAAAATAAAACATAAACAAATAAAATTAAATAAAGAGAATTAAAACAAAAATCCAAAGGCAGTCCATGAGAGTTCAGAGTGAGCAAAGGAAACTTGGACAATTTAAATTGAAGATGAGGCACAAGTTTTGCAACAGAATTTTCTGTATCTGGTGGTGTGGCACAGACCTATTTTAAATATCAGTTTGCACGTCATCTCATTACCGCTGTTGATACATTTTTCTGTAGTTCTAGTTGCTGAAATAATTGTAACTCAAAAGTGGCGTATTCAAGATGAAAAGAATATCGACAAAATAATAAATAAAAATAGTTTTGTTTTACCTTATCATTCTTTGGACAATGGTAAAATATTCATAAATTACAAAATAATTGTATTTCGATTTAACAGATGATTTAACAGATGAGTTCGGTGATAGGTGAAAGACATAAAAATTTAAGCATTCTGTAATAGTAACGCAACAAAGTGAAAGTTGGCATTCTAATCAAATGAAATTCAATATCGAAAAAAATTAATAAAAGTTATTTATATAGTGGAAAATGATTGGTTTCTACTACTTTTTTGTATGGATAAGGGTCCGGAAATGCCACACGCTGTAAGCAGTGCAGCCAGCCCAATAATGATGTATACCTATCGTTAAAAGAAGATTTACTGAAGAAGAAAAGACTTAATAGTAAATAACGTAGTATAAACTATTTCAAACACTGAAATCAATAAAACGCATACCTGTAACATTAACAGCCAGAGATTTAGATAAAATCGCGGTTGGTCCTGCAGCACATGAATATAAGCCAGAATCTGATTCAAGGACATCACTAATTGTTAGAAGTCTACCGTTTCCATAAATCTTTGTTTAAATAAATATCTTTTTAAATTCAATAAATTGAAAAGAAAAAATCAAATTTTTTGATAAGATTAATGTTTTTTACTTTCGTTTCCTAAATTCTTGTAAAATTTTCTTAAATCTTCATTTTTTCATCGGAATAGGGAAATTACCTCTGCTATAAACAATGTAGATAAATTTACTTTCATTCTTGAATTATTCTCAATATCATAATCAAGTATGAAGCCATTTTTGAACCAGCGAACGGGTTGTTGTCCTTGATTTTCGCATGTGAAGATGATGTTTGAACCAGTGTTAAACGGATTATGGCCTAGCATTGAAATCGTTGCTTGTTTCTCCTTTATCCGATGTTTCATAGCAAATGCAAAACTAAACGAAAAAATAAACATCTAAAATATAAAGAATATAAAGACATAGCTAACCCATCGTTAAAAATTATTTGAATAATCACTATATCACCGAAATAATTGAAAATTATTAAAGTTACCAGCTTTGCATGCATTCAACTTCTTCATCGAATCGATTGTCATTACCACCACAACCACTATATATAAATGTGCGACAATGACCAGATGACTGGTCGAAAAACCATTTTCGATGTAACTCACCACATGGACCAGATTCGAAGGGCAGGTGACATAATTCTGAATCAGATGTTGCATTATATAATATAATGAAATTTCAGCTTGGAAACTGCTTGGAAGCTAGTTGTGCTTACTTTTGTCTAGCGAAATTATATTAGGAAATCACTGTGAAATCAGCATTAAAACCCATTTCCATCTCATCAGTTTTGGGATACTGCTACGAATACCGAGGAGGATATTTTATCTTTGACCGTGCCCTAAGGTAAATTCTTATGTTATCACATGTGTGAACTTTTATGAACAGAATTTCACGTGATTGTACCTACCACTCCTATCGTTATAAGCTAATTGAGCCATGCTGTTCATCGCCCATGACAAATGGCTATATGCCAAATTATCTGATGGATGGCGTCAAAAAATGAAGAGGTCCAATTAAGATCTGCACTTATATGGGCACAGAAGGCTTTAAACAGCCAGCCAGCGAAACATAAACTTAAGTGGTGGAAAAAAGAATAACTTCTGTTAACTAAATTTGGCACTTGATAGAGATGAGATTATTTTTGTAGTGATCACTGCAAACCTACATTCCGTTAGTTAGTAATAGTACACTTCGTTAGAAATTTTAATTTTAATTAATTAAGAAGTTGTGAAATACTCGTATAAAAAGGTTTAGTTCGCTAAATGAAAAGAATAAGAAATTAATTCAAGAAAAGTAAATGAAATAACAGGTGCTTATTTAAATTTTCACCGCAGAAACCAATTTGAAATATTTTCCTGGAATGAGCAAATTAAAACGATGATGCACAAACTTTTACATAAAAAGGGCCAAGTAAATAAGTATTTCAAAATTTCGCTAAGCATTGCTGAAAAAACATCTAATAAATTAAAGCATAATATAAAACGAATGATAAAATAATAAAAACACACTAAAGAAATTTAAAAAAATTTAGCTAAAAATGATATAAATTCTCTAGAACTGCCTATTTAATTTTAATTTTAAAATTCCAAAATATGAGAATCTTAAAGTAATTTTGTGATTGAACACAAGACAAAACCAAATTTATTAAATTATTTGACTGATACCAAATATTTAACTCGTGCATTCTCAATGAACGAATTTTAGCAGCTTTCATACAGAATAACTATTTATTTTAAGAATAAATCAGTTAAAACGATGAATTTGAACACTTGATAACAAATTACTTATATTCTCAATGTGTTCAACCGTAAAATTGCGCTAAGGTTCTCATTTGGTTGACTATTTCCGTGAGTAGCTCAATTTCATTAGTGAAAAAACTGCTCAGAAATAAAAAAAATCCCTTCTTATAATTGTTTAGAGTCATCCTTAACCTCGAGTTTACAACTAGAGTCCTGGGAGGGTCTAGGGTTCTACACAGGATCTTATGTGCTCCTAGCATGCATTCTTCTGGACAGAGATTACTGATGTTGTTCCTAGAATCTATTAGAATCACTTTTCCAATTTGGAGGCCAGTCCCAGTGCTTCTATTACCACTAGAACCATTTTGGCCTTCTTTTTCCACATTCTCCTCCAGTTCCACTTCCAGCCCCTTGGCATTTCTCTAATATTTTTTCTTCCTAACGTTCCTGTCACTTGCTATATCTGTCATTAATTATGATTTTGCTACCATGATATGTGGTTGATTGGCCAGCACTTACTTGTCTGTCTGGATGAAGTCGAATAGGTTAAGTATATACATATATATATATATGGCGCGGTCTGGTGCCATCGTCGACAGTAATAGAAGCCATTCCTTTTTCCATCGTCTAAATCCATATATTGCTGGTCCCTATACGTTCTCACCGTACTAGGTCAGGTCTTAATTGATTTATCTCAATTTTGATGCCACCCATCAAATAGCTTAGAAATTAACGAAATATATGTCAATTTTTGTGGTGAGTGACGAAGAACGTGTCCTAATTAGCGAAGGTGATGGTACTGTTATTGCAAGTGATATTTGAATGAAGGTGGATGCGATCATGTGAGATTTTATCCACTTGGTAAACCCGTAAAATGTATTTTAGACATGTGATAAAAGGCAGATAGCTTCTTAATATTCCTCCACTTTCAATGGGCGTGTCGCTTAGCAAGATCGAATGAATCTCGCCAATATAGATGCGAAGTTTTGTTTTTATGGTGATTTCACGACAGCTCCAGAAAGGTCACATCAACTGGAAGAACGCATTTCTAGCTGCCGTAATCGGGGGTGTAATATCGTTTTTTGTTTTGGCCATTCAGTATTAGAGTGGATCCAAAGTATTTAATATTGGGCATTTCCTCAACTGGTAATGAATTTATAAAAAGAGGCATTTTGCCACCTTCTTGTTTATAAGACGAAAATGATTTTATCTTATTTACACCAACCCTGAGTATAATTCTCGCTGCAGTTGCTGATTTCTTGATTTCACATTATTTAGCATTACCTGCATTTCGTCCTAACTGAATCAACAAAAAAGACTACATCATCAAGATTTCTAATCCAATGCTCTTGACTGATTTGTACAACTTTTGAGTGCCGACAAGCGGTGCTCATTATCCAGTCTATCGCATAGGGGAAAAGACATAACTTTGACGGACGACAGTTCTTATTTTGAAGGATTCTGTCAATTCCTCATATACACAGACCTGTGCCTACGTACGCTCATAAAACGCGTTTATGAGTCGAATGATTTTTTCTGGAACATCGTCGAGTTCCATCACCCTTCAAAGCGCGGCTCTATCAAATGAATCGAAGGCAGCCGCAAAGTCGATGAAACACGTGACGGTGTATCACAAATATGTGAAGGGATGTTCCAAAACCCTTCTTAACCTGAAAATCTGATCAGCACAACCAGGCCCAGTATAAATCTAGCTTGATTAGGGGCATCCTGCTGTCCCATACTTCCATGAATCTACTGAGTAAAAAGGAAGCAAAAATTTTCGCTGAGACGTCCAGTAAGTTGATTCCTCGATAATTGTCTCAGTATGTTCTGTATCTTTCTTAAAAATTGAGAGCAGAATTAATATTTCTTTTTTCCATACCAGAGAGTACATTTGTTGAAGGTGCGTTATGAAGGGTGATGGATAGCATTTGAAGAGTTCAGCCCGAAGACCATCTTCTCCCGGAGTCTTATTGGCCTTATGGATAACGGAAATTGTTTCTTCTATTGGAGGCTCGCAATTGCAAGCGTATAGTTCGGCGAACGTATCAGCTATATCAAAGGCAACAGATGACGCTTCATGGTCAAGTTTGTATTCTCAAAGAATTCTTTCCATCTTATGAGTCGGTCCTTAATATTCTTAACACGCCATTGCTGTACCTTATCATTTCACTGATCGTTTTCCGAATTACAATTGCTTTATGAAGACGGCGGAATAGCTTCCTCTTATCGCCTTATCGAGCCGCCGTCTCCATTCTCGAGGCCATATCACTCCAATAGTGATTTCTATCCCGCTGTGCTTTCCCTTTCATTTCAAATCTTCGAAACGCCGGGTAGTCAGGATCACCTGACATTCGTGCTTTGGCAGCTTTTTCAGACAATTGGACAGTTACTTCCGATACCCAACTAGCGCACTTCCCACTAGTTTGGCCTAGCGTGGAAGTGGCTGATTTTCGGAGACATTCCTTTAGTTTGGACCAGTATTCATTTGCCGTTCCAAAAAAGTTATTGATATTTGTATCATAGAGATACTTCAATAATTCGATTTGAAATGCGCTCATTGTTCCCAAATTTTTCAGTTTGAGATAGTTGAAGGATCTTGGGGGATGCTGTTTTCTGCGAGTTGCCAATTTTATGCGGATCTTGGCTGTAATCATAACATGGTCAGATACATAAAAGATTGCCCATTTGTCAGATTTTCTACGATGTTGGAAGCAAGTAATTGTTCATGCTCTTCGGCATAACAAAAAAGGCGTTCCCATTTAGCGCACAGGTCGCCATACATGTCAATTTTCGAGGCCACCGCAGCGGCATTATAACCTACGGGCACATTTCAATCTAACCCGATTATGATCATGTCACGTTTCGATACAGACTTTATTAGCAGTTGAAGCTCCAAACAAAACTTATCTTTATCACAGTCATCTACCGTCAGAGTTGGAGCATAGACACTGATGACCGAGATATTGCTGAACTCACCTTTAAAACTTACCTTTATTTGGATAGGCCATGCGTTCACTTACCGGTTTCCACTTCAATCGAAGCGCAATGGGCTTTCTCAGATATGACAATCGCTACGCCATTTCTCCCCGAGTTATCCGTAGCACCACAGTATAGCCAGTACTTCTGCTCCGAACAAGGATTAGTAATTACTCGAGACCCGAAGTGAGGATTACGGACCTGCGGCAAGCAAACGATATCCACACGATATTTGGAAAGGGTGTGGACAATGATCG